CAATCTCATATCTCCTTGCTCGATTGTTTTGAAGCTCGTATTGCCATTTTCTTTTGTGCTTTGAGGSGTACAATTACTGATCAAACTTTTTTTGGGAGGTAGAATTTTTTACTTACTATGAAGTGCACAATTCACAATAATTCAGGGTTATATGTTATAATAATAATAAGCAACTATCACTAATAGCAACCATTTATAAATAAACRAAAATTTCCGTCGTAAATCTCAAAATGTCTGTTTACACTCAAAGCCCCTCCTGGGGTTGGGCCTATCACTTTTTAACTTAGCCTATATTTTACCCGTAGGTCTAATTTATYTTTGTAACAAATTTTTCACTGCAATCGGTATATACTAGCTGTATAAGAATGTATAAAAGACAAACAAACAGACAGATCWATTTTTATATACAGATTAAATAATTCAATGATATATTATACAAATATAATATATGACTGGTTATATTACAATCACCTATTTATGTACTAAATACTATTTAACCATCTGTATGGCTGTATAATTGAATTAAGATCCTTTTTTTWAAATTAAATTTAGTTTGATCGTTACATTTTAATACCATTTTTTTTTAAATGTAGATTCTTAAACAAGAATTATATCAAACACAACTGCAATTAAAAACAAAAAATGCATTCATTAGTGAACTTCAAAATGATGTAGAGCAATTACAAAAAGTTGAAGATGATAATATGCAGTTAAAATCAGAAATTTCAATAAAAGAATCAGATTTAAAGCAATGGACTGTAAAAGTAATTAATTTACCTAATAATTATTTCTATATTATGATAATTTTGGTCATAACACATGTATTACTAACCATTATTTACTTAAATTTAATTTTCTACCAGTATTCCAATTTAGAGTTCAAATTATTAGATCAACAAAAAGACCATTTATTACAAATTGAATTATTGAATGAGCAACTATCTGTTTTAAAACATTTAAAAGATAAACCTAAAGAAGATGTACCAGTAAATTTAAATGAAAGTATTATTACAGAATTAAAAACTGAGTTGAATGAGAAAAAGGTATTATTAACTATAATTATCATGTCAATGTGTGATATTAATGTACACATATAAAAKAATTGCTATTAGGTAAAATTTCAAATTATTTTTTATAGGGCAAATATGAAGAGATGCAAAACTTGATAAATGATCAAGAAATTCGTATTATGGAGTTAGAATATTCAAAAAATAGAGCTATTGAAGAACTGGAGGAATTAAAAATAAAAGTTGAATTTAAAACTGATCAATTGAATGAATGGAAGCAAAAATATGAGGTAAAATGTTTACACTATCAGTAATTTTATTTTACTTATTTTTCAAGTTAAAAAGTCTGAAACATTATTATTATATAATAATTGTGATTTGTGTTAGACATTGCAAGCAGAATGTGAAATGATCAGGCTGCAACTCAATAGTGTAAATAACCTCAATGATCATAATAAAAGAGGAAATTCATTGTTTGCTGAAGTAGATGATAAAAGACAAGCATTAACAGCCGAGCTGGAAATAAAAAGAGAAAAATATGAAACTTTGAAAAAATGTTTATCAAAAGCTAATCATGAAAACAATCAAATGAAGGTTTTTTAAATTTTAAAATTTCTTTTTTACTGATGTATTCTAATTTATTGATCTTTAGATGGAAATAATGAGATTAGAAAAACAGTTGTTAGACACCGAAAGAAATGATGATCTAGAAAAATCTACTTTGATTCAAAGTTATAAAAATCGCATAAGCGTAAGATAAAATTTTAAAAAAAATTTTGTTAATTTATGAAGTTAATATTTTAATTGTAATATTGTTTATAGGATTTAGAAGCCAAAATTAGAGAATTAGATAAAAGACCAGAGACTCCACAAGTATTGAAAATAGACAATTTAAGCAATGATGGCATGAATGTTGTTCTTCAAATTGTGTCTGATGTCCGGTAAGTTGTATTTTCATATATCTAGTGTAACCATACGTCCCCCATTAAGGGGGGGATTGTCCCGTTTTTCAAAGGTGCGTCCCGCATATCTAAATGTCCTACTTTGGTCCCGCATTTATAAAAATTGAAGTGGTACATCATGATTCATGATTCTACACTCTACAGGACGTTGTATCAGACTTGCAATCATGAATTGACAATAATAAAAAAATTGTATCCAAGGATAAGTATTAAAACTGTAATTGTGATTGTAAATTAAAATTTGTTTAAGTAAAAACYTTAACATTTAAAAATATATGTAGTATCTAATTGTTTGTCTGATTTTTTTATCAATAAAAAATAATTTTAAATAAAATTAAATGTAATGTATTTGCTATTATTATGTATTTACATTTTACGTACCTCTTTTTTTAAGTGTCCCCCTTTAGGATAAAATAACTATGGTTATATGTATATATCATATATTACATATTTCATACTATTAATCATATTGTATATTTTGTTTATTCTTTAAAATGGCGTGATTATTTTTTTTAGTAAAGAGAAGAAAGCTCTGGAAGAAGAAATGAATAGAAGATCAATTAGAGATATGGAAGCTCGACAACAATGTTTTAAAGGAGAATGTGAAATTCGTCAACTTAAAAAAGAGATGAGAAAAGACAAACTGCAATTAAAAGAATTAGAACAACAAATTTCTGTATTGAAGTCTAAAGGTAAAGAAATTTCTAGTGAAAAATATAATCCATAAAAGGACTTCATGCTTAATACTCAATAGTTAAATTTTTGAAAAAATTTTGGAAGAAAACAAAATTTATGAATTTCATTGTTTTTGTTATAGTGTCGTCATCAAAAGAAAACATGAGTGAAGATAAACACATGGTAACAAAAGGAGTACGTTTTCATAACAACTGTAAGATAGAAGATGGAGGTCCTTCATTGAAACTAGSRAAAAAAATTCCACAACAAGCTSTTTTGAACACAATTGTTTGTCCGAAATTTGAAGAATTATAAATAAATTTTATTCAATATTTTCTTAATTTTATAGAAGTTATTTTAAAAATATTTAATTGAACTCTAAAATRAAATTCTGTGCTTCTAATTGTTAAAATATAATTTTAAAACTTTTATTTAGCATTATAAATGTGTTGTTCCGGAATTATAATTTATTGGATTCCATTTGTTTATATTATAATATAAAATGATACTAGTGTAATTATTTTTATAATAAAATTTGCAATCTGGCAATCTGGCAAAAATGTATAAATATTTTATTTATTTTTGTTGTTTAATAAGAGAAGATAAACAATAATTGAGATATAAACCCACTGTGGAATAGAACCATATTGTGCACAGATAGGGAAAAGTATTTTTTAGTAATTGGAATTGTGATTGGTTTTGAGGAAAGTTACTATAGTAGTATGTGGGGCACTTGAGGACACTTTTATTTTTTTATCAACATTAAAAATCATAAAAAGATATTAAAAAAAACCGACCTTGATTGTAAARGAATAGTATTCAGAAACAATATAGTAAATAAGCAACATAAATGTGGGTATAGTGAATGTAGAAATTGTAAAGAAGATGTAAAAATGAATGAACATAAATGTTATATGCAGCCTATAAGCAGGCGTGGATTCAGTAGGGGGGCGGAGGGGCGCTCCCCCCCGTAAGCTGTGTTTTGTTTAGGAAAAATGCCCAGTAAAAAGATTTAAAAGTAATTTTAATACGTTGAGTGCCGCGGTCGACGGGTAGTAGACGTTAGACCAGCGGTTCTCAACCTTTTTATAGTCAC